CCCCCCCCCCCCCACCAAACTCAATTAGCCCCCCCTAAAATTTTGGCTGGATCCACCCTTGTTCAAGGTACAGTACGTTGCACTAATTTCCAACCAAATAAAATCCTAATACAAATACCGCAATCAACCTTTTTTTAAGAAATTATTAGTAAAGGCCAGACAGTGAGGGTGGTAGCTGCTAGGGTTTCTTCATGTCATTACTGGTTCGTTTACATCCCTTTGTTGCAGGGTGAGATAGTAGGGACCATTTATGCCATTTTACATGGTCAACCTTGCCACATGTATAAAATCTTATGATCAGCTTCTCCTGAAAAGTCATTTCTCAGACATAAACAAAATAATCTCTTTCGTATCTCAGTGATCAATGATATAAATGTAAGATACAGGAGGTGGGCTCATTAATTTGGAGAGGGTGGACTGAAAAGGATATTAATATGTGTTATATAGTGTTTATTTTACACCTTCTAGCAGTAAAAGACTAAATTACAAAGAAAGCCAAGACAAAATTGTAATACAGTGCTGAAAAGTGTAATACAGTGTAAATTGCCTTATTTCATGATGACGTCACATCAAAACAAGCTATTTTCTTAACACTAGGGATCATGGTCACTTGAGGGGGATGGAATGACAACAACATATCCTAAATCACCATGAAAAAAATTTTTTTTAGTTGGTGAAGGCAAGAACAACTAAATATTAAGCTAAATATCTCAAAAGAAGAGAATTAAGATAAAATTTAGCCTAAATTTCTAATGTTTTAGCCGATGTAAACAAACTGTAATGTCATGATGATACAGGGGGCAATAACAAACAATTCTCGATTTTGATTGGATAATAGACAATAGAAAAGGATTTCAGCCAATTAGATGACAGATAATTGTGACGAAAAATTTGAGGAAAATTTAAAGCAAATCGAGGTGGAAAGTTGGCAGCCATTTTATATTTCGATTAGTAAGGAAAAGTTTTACAGATTTTACTATCAAAGAACTAAAAAAAACAGTTGAAAAAGAAAAAGTGAAAAGAAAAGAAACTATGACATGAATTTAGGAAAATGATTTAGCTGATCTAGCAAAATACTCGAACTATTCAATGCCGAAGTAAAACAAGAACAAAATCAGAAACAAAAAAAGACTATGAGCAAGACTATAACACGATGTGGTAAGTACTTATAGTATTACACAATATTTTGGTCTACGAGATCCCACTACTGAGCCGCAAATTTTCCTGAACACGTTTAACTGAACTGTCAAGTATAATTTTTTTCAATAGAACTCCACGGGAACTCCAGTAGCTCGAAGTCTGTAAAGTCAGCCAATCCAAATGTATTCATTTATAGCGATTCAGATTTGCTTTACACTAAACAAATTTTCACAATAGACCTATAACCACATTTTGGTAAAAAAACTTTTTGAGTTACATATATTTGAAACCAAAAACGCTTTAAATATATTTGGTTGTCATCGAATTTCATAAAAATAATAATATTATGTGTTGGATATTTTACGTTTCGTCTCTTCTTTTTATAATGAGTTTCATGTGCATTATTACTAAGTATTCATATGGTTTCTCGTTCAGTTTGGGATAAACGCACTCGTGTGTTTTTAGAGCTAAATTGCACTCCAGCTAGGGTCTCGTGCAATTTCAACTCTTTGAAAACACACTCGTGCAAATTAATCCCAAATTGAACTCGAAACCATGTGATTATCTATACTAAAGGTGCTGACACACAGTGCAACATTGCGTGTCTACCCCAAACTTGTTGCATGCAACAAATCTGTAGTTGAATCCCGCTCTACTCTTGCAACATTGGCGCAACAAATTTCATCATGTGTACATAGCAGCAACATTACCTACAACATTTTGAAATTTCCAGCCAATCAGCTTGCACCAAATTTATAACTGCTGACCAAATATCTTAACATAGCAAGCTGACACAAGCAATGTTGCATGATTTTGTTGCAATGTGTGTCACCCTGATTCAAATTTGTTGCTTGCAATGTTGAGTGCAATGTTGAACTGTGTGTCATATGACATTGTCACCACTTATTTTGATATTTCACCCTTTCAGGAGTGACATACTTCAAATATGTTAATGACTGTGATGTCATATCAGTCTTCTTTGAATATACAAATTTTAACTGTTCAAGCAAAAAGTATTTTAAAAGCATTGTGAACATATTCATGGTTTACACTATGTTATTGTAAAATGTGGTGTCTCATATTAGTCAGTGTTTAGTTTTATAACTTGTACAAATGCACCCTATTGCCCAATATGATGTGACTTTCCACGGGCGGCGGAAGCTAAAAATCTTTGGGGGGGCACTGAAGATTATATTCAATGCTATGTGATAATGACAATGCTTTGTTTGATTGCAGACGCATGCGCTGTAAAACAATGACTAAGAAGCAATATTTTTGGGGGTCCAGGCCCCCCAAAAAAATTTGGTGGGGGGCACATACCCCCCCCCCCCCACCCGGGTCCCACAGTTCCACCGCCCCTGCTTCATCAACTATCATTTAAAGTTATATAAACCATTATGACTTAAAGATGAAACAATCAAATATTATCATGATAATAATAAGTAAAAGCAGCAGCAAACCATTTACTCTTAGCAGTAGTAGTAGAGTGCAAACAATATAACCGTGAAATTTTAGTATTACTAAATAGCACAATTTCATGCAAATGCCATTGTTTTCTATTGTTTATCTAGCACTATTTTGTACTATTTAGTATTTAGCGTTTCACAGATTAATTGTTTGCACTCTAGTTATAAGTGTGATTGCCACACTTCTAGTGCTTAGTTTGTGGTAAAAAATACATTACTTTTATATCTCTGAAAAGAATATCCTAACAAACTGTCTTTGTCTTGCAGAGTATCAAAATCAAGGAAGAAAAAAAAACCAGCATATGGCATAAGCTACTTACAAAGAAATGATGTTCATTTGTTGGAATATTTACTCTCAGTAGAATGGTACTGAGACTATTCATATTACTGAGCAAATCATCTTCCTCTGATTGTATGAGCTATGGTTGTCTGCTAAGCTACAATTGGCTAATGAAGATTCCTGAGTATAATATTTGAAGAAATATGAGAAAAAAACAAGGATTAAGCATAATAATAACTGAAGCTTATACACGAAAGTATCGTGAATTAAGTATAGAGTGTACGATATTTTCCTGTTATATGACTTCAAAGAATAAACCAAGGATACCAAAGGCTAAAACACTATAGGGTGTGAACAAGGAATATAATAAATACGCAGGGGACGGATCCAGGAATTATAGAAGGGGAGTGACTATTACAAAGGTTTTACCAGGAATTGGAGGAAAAGGGGGTGACTATTACTAACAATATTCTGGGAAAGTTGAGCAAAAGAGGGGTGACTAGTCACCCCTTTTACCATCCCTGGATCTGCCCCTGATACGATACAGTTTTTCATGTTGGGCGTAATATTTTCCCAATTCAGATCACGTGTTATTCCCAAGAGTATCGTTTCTCATGAAATTCCCTTGTCAACCAATAAATTTTACTGTAGAAGAAACAAAGCATCTTATCCTCGTAACAATAGCACGTGGTCTGAAATGGGAAGATTCATAACGATGCAAACTGAAAAGCTTTATCCAATAGGAGGAGATTTTGACATAGGGAGAGAAATCCCATTTGAGGAATGTAGTTCCGGGATACATTTTTCTGTAACGCAGGATAATTTTCCATGTTGGTGAGATTTCCCATAAATATGACCCGGTCCCACAGAATGGATGAACCCTACAGTTTAAAATTCCAAAATTCTTCATAAAATTACACCAAAAGCTGCCTCTCGGGAATCTTGTCTATTTCTGAACTTTTCTGATTCATCGGCAAATACAGCAAATATTTTATTTGACGAAATGACAGAGACTCTGGGAAACCCAAAATTTTAAAGATCTCTGATTGGTTAGAATATTTTTTCGCGATAATAACTGGGTTACCTGTGATAACCCCGGTCATAAAACACCTTTAATTTTCTAGTCCTGATTCCTCCCCCACAATAGACAAAGTGTGCAATAAAACCTAGGGGTCTTCAGGAGCTTACCTAAAAACCTTTCAATTAGCATATGCCAACTGTCGATCAATGTCACTTTGTTTCCAAGTGATTAAGGTGGCTGCCTACTTTTGAACGTTCAAATTGGGCCCACGATGAGCGCGCGCTCAAAAACCGCTGAAAAATCTACAAGATTTTATTGAAGAACCATACGCGTTTTGAGCTTCAACAGCAAAACCCTCAAATTTAATAAGTCATTCGAAAAAACTCCTAAAAATCTAGGTTATGTCAACATTTTAGAAAAAGTTTAAACCAGTAACACATGAAAAAATAGATTTCTGAAGGGATTCTTCGACTTTATGAGATTTTTTAAGAGCACCGAAACTACAAAATATGACAAATCAATGTATTTTTTTGTATTTTTGTCGAAACCATCCATGTATTATTGTAGAATGATTGAGTAGCCTTCATTCGTGCAATCATAGAGTCTGCAAATAAATATTATCTTATGAATCTTAATTTTTTTCTAATCACTTCCGGTGGCGCAATTTTTACTCCAAAAGCTCGTACGTAGGCTTCCATTAAATGCTGATTATCTCAGAAAGGAGCTCGGGACACCCTATTTTTCTTTCCAGATTTGGAATCAGCATCAAATTTCAATTTGGAAGATCAAAGTTTTAAAAAAAGTTTAAATCAATTTCCAAAAGTAGGCAGTCAACTTAAGAGAGGGCGTAGGTAGTGAGCACGACGGAAATTAATGCCTATGCATGCTCTATTTTGTTGACAGCTATCCCTGACTGAGCCCCGAATTAGGGACGGACCATCAGGTTTTTGAGGGGGGGGGGGGTTGGCAAAAAAACAACAAAAAATACATTTAAGCACAACTTTAAAGAGTAAAAAGAATCGTGCATAAGAAAAGTGCCAGAAAAAAATCCCAGTTATCTCCAAAAAATTCCTGCACAGTAAAATAAAATTCCTGCAAAAAATAAAAATTGCCCTAACCCCCTGTGTTAAAAGTCTCTGCCTTGAACCAATTGTCATGAACTCAGTTTTGGCGATGTTCAAGCTTAACTTATTGGCTACCGGCCAATGGTCAAGGTTGCTGAGCTCAGTGTTTATAAGGAATTCAAGGTGTGATACGTTGCTTGCATTGAGGTTTATGCTGGTATCATCAGCAAACATTCGTGGTGGTGCTAAGGCAGTTGGGTAAGTCATTTATATAAACGAGAAAAAGAAGAAACCCTAGCAGGCTCCCCAGAGGTACCCCCACAACTTATGATACCAGCATCTGAAAGACTACCATTTACACTACATTTTTGACTTCGATTATTTAAATATGACTTAATCAACGCAATGAATTTTCGTTCAGCTCCATAGTTCGATAATTTCCGAATAAGAATTTCGTGTTTAATCGTATCAAACGCTTTTTTTAAGTCAATAAATATAACTCATTGAGTTGGCCATTATCAATATTAACAGACCAGTTAATAATCAGGGCCGTAGCCACCAAAGCTCACCAACTTTTGATTGGTTCGGTTTTCAAGGAAGGGGGTAGGGGGTAGGTGGAGAGGAGCAAGGAAAAGTATAGGGAAAACCTCCTACACTTAATAGAGAGTTTTAGATTGATTTTTTTTTCTCCCCGCAAACGGCAAACGTGACCACGTTTTCATAGTTTTCCTGTATTTTACTTTACTATTTACAAACCTCACCAAGCGCAAATACTAGTACTAATCTAGTACTAATCTAGTACTTAGATTTTGAATGTTGCGAAAGTACTTTTTCTTGACTCGTTCTTTAGGATGTATTCATTTGCAATAGATTTTAAATCAAGCTTATCTGTGACATCCTGGTGGTAATGTAGTATCATCAAATGATTTAATCTTGATTGAGCCATTGTACTTCTGAGATATGTCTTGATGCGTCGCAGAGCACTGAAAGATCGCTCAGATGTTGCGTTTATTGGAGGAAGAACATTCAATAGGCGAAATAACTTGCAAACTTCATCTAGGATACCTCTTTGAGCAGAAGATAAAATAAAAAGGGTTGTCTTGACATTCTCTATGTTAGGGTTTTCGTTGTCGCCACGAACAGAGAAATACAATTGCCGGAGAGTTAACAATTGAGTTTCTAAGGCTTTCTTGTCAAAATCATCATGAAAAACGTGCAAACGTTCAGTTCTTCTTTGAAGCACTGTCCTTGACAGGCTTTACAGAGAAGCTGCTCCAAATTAGCGAATACACGACGGTATTCATCTTTGGGCGAAGATAGAAACTCTGCTTGTGCGTCTCCTTGTCCAAATATTTTCGAGGTTTTTCTCTTTCTTGCCAACTTTGGTTCATCGACTTCAAATTCATCCCGTCGTTCTTCCACTTTTTTCCAAAATAGTTATCATCAGTGCGCAAGCTTTCGAGTGTTTGACCGGTAAGCATCGCTATTTTATGACCCTCTACACTTGTGAACTTGGGATTCTGAAGTGTCTGACTCAGTTTGTCAGTGTGTTGCAAAATCATTTCAGCGAGAATCAAACAAAACAAAAATTTGAATGGTCTCATCTGACTTTTCAACGCCTTGAATTCTAGCCTTGATTTCAGTGTCACATTTTCCTGCCAAAGCGGTTCCCCACAAAAGATTGATATTGCCATAGTTAAATAATATACTTACAAGAAATCCGGCGCGGACTGTCCATCTCGTCGGGAATAGAGTTCGGACACCTTGCGCATCACTTTCTGTCTCTTGCTTTAAAGTATTTAGCATTGATTCGCGCTTCGGAAAAAACTTGATCAATAGACCCGTTTCGAATTCCAAATTACCGCTGTGTTTCTTGATTACAGACCCATTTGCACAGGGTTAGCCTCGATTTTGTGCAGAAGATTCACGTGTTCCAGTCAAGGTCCGACGAGTTTCAAAATGTACTGTTGAAGTTGTGCATTCTTTACTTTACCGTTGGTATTTGTGAATATTTATACTCTGATACGAGGCCAACCCTGTGCAAATGAGTCTGTAATGAAGGAACACAGCGGTAATTAGGAATGGAATTCGAAACTGTTTTACCACCTCGTAGCAAGTACGCAAACAGTCCTGCAAAATCTTGCATTGTTTCATTGTGTCATTAACGCTAAGACTAAGTGCATGAGCAAAACAGTGGACAAAAACACCTCGCGGTTCCAAAGCAGAAATTTTGGCAGCTACCCCATTTTTGGCACCAGCCATCGTACTGCAGCCATCATAGCATTGACCTCGAAGCTTAGAAAGAGGGATCTGGAATCTAAGTAGGGCATCTTTAATGGTGTCAACTATGCTCTGCGCATTGGTGGAATCCATACTATACAATCCAAGAAATTCCACTGACACTTCAAAGTTATCATCAACATATCTCATTACTATACTCAGCGGTCTTCCGTCACACGAGTATACAGTCAATTCAAAAAATGTTGTCGTCGACCACCTAAAGCCGACGCGACTGGACCGAAAGGAACTCTGGGTAGTAATCATGGATAACCACATTTCAGTACGTTACTTTTCTTTACTTGATTCTGTTTTTGATACTGACAGGTCTTGTACCTGGTCTGCTTCTCGAGAATGTCGCTGTCATAGAGGTTAACCTCATAAAGTACACTAGTTTTATCTTAATGAAGTTATTTTTCCATTCTTATTTTTATTTTTAAGTACAATGTTATATTTTTTGCATATATTTTTATGTTTAATTATTTCAATTATTTCATGAGGTGGTCACCTTGCATGGTTCTCTTGTCCCGTTCGTGACTTTCCTTTCTGGGTAACTCTTTTTTTTCTTCTATTTAATACATTGTAATATTAGTTTTCCCAAATAAAGCTGTAAAAAATAAAAAATAAAATTGCGGATACAAACATTTCCGGGAACGTGTGGACGGGGCCTCAATCTATCCATTTGCCTTTTGATACCAGGTTTCAAATTGTAATTTTCACTCATGTAGCGATAGCTTTAAGTTTCACTCTGAATCAGAGCCCGAAAGGTATGAAACGATGCTGGGATTTTCTTTAAACTCCTTTAAAATACAAACAAAATCTGGATAGCGGTAAACTATTACGTCTAATTATTCCCAAGTTCTATGACCTCTTTCACAATGGGCACCAAGTGACATTAATTTATTGTGTGTACGTTCATCCAATATGTGACTTAAGCACTGTCTAGAGAGTCCGATACCAAAACAATAAAGCTCTGCCAGACTATCTAGACTTTATAATATAGTCAAGTAAATCCGCGCGATCTGATTGGTTGAAAAGCATGAACTATTTGCCCATGGGTTGCACGCTCACGTCAGCTTTTTTTGCTTCTTACCATTTACTAGGACGTGCGTTACACTGATACGTTACGTTAATCTGCTATCAAGTTACTGGTTAGTACGATTACCGGAAATTCAACGTATCAGCGTCTTGTTTCAAATCTCAAATGACACAGGAAACCCAATAAAGCACTTACTGATTTTTTTATTCATGTACAAATTCTAAAGCCGGGCTCCCTGTGTTTCGGACAGCTTTGGTTCACTTGCAAGCTAATTTTTTGCCATTATTTTAGTCATAACAGTCTTCAGTGTAAAGCTGCCATTTTCAACTGTTTTTCTGTGTTTTGGCGCCTTTGTGCTTTAAATTCACGCAAGGTGCGTAAGGAGAATTTAGGGCATGATCAACAAATAAAGTCAATATTTTGTATTTATTTCTTGTTTGTTGACTTGACTATATTATAAAAGCAATGAATCATAAGTAGCTGCGCGTCCATCGAGTTATGGATCAAAAAAGCTAGATTTGCACTAGAGGGCAACTCTTACGCTTTTCTTCGTGCTTAGCAACCTTCCGCGTGCATCCATAACTCGATGGACGCACGCTACTTATGATCCATTGCTTATACTGAAATTTACAAGAAGTTTAGCAAAACTTTAATCGCACAAGTCACAATATGAAATGCTTAAGTATATCAAAGTCTTAGAGTAACTGGTTAAAGATGATAAGGCTTGAGGCATAAAATATGTGGAGTTTGATAGCGTGAGAAATGTTAACTGCGGCGAGGTCTTTAGAAAATCAATGTTGTCAATATTAGTAAATGACAAGTCTAATTTTAATAGTCGGGGAGCTTTAAAGTTTTTGTTCAATGTCGTAGCTAAATTCT